TACCAGTTTCAACCTGTCTTCCTCTGACCTCATTTTGTTTGCTGGAAAACCCTGCAGGGTTACCTACAACACAACCTTGATGTTAATCAAAGAAACCAAAGCCAAAGAAATACTTTTGACAACTTTCTCAATTGCTTACTTAAGCCCTCTATTATTTTCTCAATATCAATTGCAGTAGCTTCAGTTTCTGCTTCGACCATTGCATCTTCAGAACCTGAGATTTTAAAAAGGCTATGAATTTTATACCATGTGGGATAACAATAAATAGGATTAAACAATTACTACCAACATTTTAAAAAGTGAGAAAAGGATAAGGAAACCCCAATTATTTTCCTTTTTTCTTGTTCGTCTACCAATATGTGGTACTTTTCGTTGTTGACTCATTTTGACAAAAGAAAAATCTTAAGGGACTTAAGTAGCTCCCTCACAGATGATTCAGTTGCAGAATCTACACTCAGTATTACCAAAATCAGTGTATTTCTTGAATTCCAAAATCATTGTTTCTTAATTATGTTTAACTACCTCTACTCTTGAATCTTCCAATTTCATTTCCTAATCACTCATCCAAATGTGGTAATTGACTTGTACCTTTTTCACAACAAAAAATTATAGAATACAAAAGCAAAAGCATACCAGTCATGGGGAGCATTCAAATTAAATTGCACATGAGTTCCTGTAATTCTTTTTACATAAACTAGAGGTTTTTCCAGGTTCTGATGTACCATACCATTATCATTGACAGCTTGAGTCTTAGTCAATTCAACTTGAGCAACAACTCCAGTTCCATTGTGCTTCTCACCTGCCAAAAATAGAATTTATTCAGGCCACAAGTCTTCTACTCCATTGTCCTTAATTCAGGTTGTTAGCTACTCATTCCAGTCAAATCCCACATTGTTATTACAGGCAATTCAAATATATCGTATCATCTGCAGCAAAAGATCCAACGCCATTATGTTCCTCAACCTCAGCCACACATGCTGGTACACATTTGATTTTGTACAAATACACATCTATCAAGAATTGTGTAGCTCTGACACATTACACACACCTGTTGCTGGATCTTTTGAGTGTTCAACAAGATATTCACGCAGTTTTCCATTCCCTTTTATTTCACTGCTCACCCCATCTTCATTCTGTACAACCTCCTGAATGAATCAATAAGAAATATGATGATCAACAAACTTCGGTTAGAGGGAAATAAATCTCAATAGGATGCCTCATAGTTTTTTGAATTCATTATAGATAAAATTAAAATAAAATATCATAGTTTTTTCTATTAACAATTGTCTTAAAAAAACAAAAACAAAAACAATGATTTCTAGAATTATGGGCATGAGCCATCTTAGTCCTTCCTTTCACTTTTACAGCACCTTCTGAGGTATAATTAATCTCTCTTGTGTTATGTAACACTCCTATATCAAATATATATATATATATATATATATAATTAGAAAGGAAAAAAAAAAAAAAAAAAGAGGCCACTCTGTATTTCAACCATGACTACTTTAATCGCCAAATTAGCATGTATCCAGTTAGCTAACACGAGAATCATTCCTTTCTCTTGAACATAAATGTTTTAATCCTTCTCATCATATTGGTCTTCCGTTTGTTCAATAGGAAGCACACTGGTCTTGCCTTTCTACCCCAAAGCTTAATGCAGACTTTTGATACGTAGAAAGGAAGCGTAGCATACAGGCTTCAGATATACCTCTATGGGGAGCAGACATGATGTTCCAGCAGTAGATCCCCCTGTTAGTTCAGAATCTGAACTTATACCAGAAGATTCAATGTTGTCTAGTCCATACTCATCTTCAACATCTTCTTCATCAGCATTTTCAATTTCACTACCCTTCTTGACTGCAACAATTTATACACATTTGGTTTAGTGGATTACATTACCCAATGATTATGTTAATACATAAATAGTATCATGTAATGTTAATCAGTGTGGATATATGCCTCTGGCTATTGATATTTTCACCAGGCAATTTCAGTGGCCTGCTCCTCCCCTCATGTCTCACTCTTAGACAAAGGATATCAACTTCAGAATTTTGTGGTTTACCTTTTCGTTTATTAGAAACTATTGTTCGATTGTCCAGTGCTCCAACCTGCTTTTGGTTAGTCTTCTGCAATGGGAATAAAATGCATTCTGATCAGGACCATCAGGGGAAAGAAGAAACAAAACCAGAGGAAAAATAACTTCTTCTTTTTTTTTTTTTTTGGTACATCACTTCTTGCATTCAAATGTATGCTTCTCAGCATAGAAACTCAAACTTACCTATGGTCCAAACATGTTTACCATCATACCCATAATTAACAAGCCATGACACCCCCTGCCCTTTTCCCATCATAAAACAAGACAAAAATACACATACCTTAAAGTAAGGAACCCAGTTTCCGTTGATCATAGTAACCCGTTCTCCATTGATCATAGTAACCCATCTTCCATCCGTCCAGCACATGCGAGGCCTCAATTCTGACTGACTGTATTGCTTCACCTCCTCTGTGAATTTAAAACCGACCATATACTTTTTTCCTATAATAACTTTTTTAATCACTCCGACACACCAACCCATATCACAGAATGCATCCACCTTTTCCAGCAACCTAAAATCTCTTTCCGCCAACTTTGGAGGCTGAGGCCGAATCTGTTTGTCACCTACGACCACTTTAAAATCATAGTTGTTTGAGCTCTTATATTGAAGCAAGAAAGAGTTAACCCCTAGTTCACCAAGATAAATTGCTGGGAACCAAGCACAGAATAGACGTTCTTTGCTGAGATTCACTTCCACTGCTGTCCCAGGGCTGAAAATTGATCCCGCCATCCTCTTTGAACAATTAGTGAAAAATATCAGTTTTCTTTCTATTAGAAGCACAGCATATAGAAAATTCTATCATCCCTCAAAAATAGGAATCCAGATATATTGCAAATGAGATAAAGGAATGAGCTGAAAAGGCATGAACTTGGAAACATATAAGTAAAGACCTCAATAAATCCAAACTTAAAACTCCACAAAATCACAAATTCCTAACAAACACCACAATATCAGAGAAGTCCCAGAAAAAAAATAGAAAGCACAAACAAACCTGATATCAAGTACTGGTTCGGACCAAGGACAACAAGCAATAAAAATAACAACTTTGGTTGATAATTCAGGAAAATCAATAGAATGGTCAAGAGAACCAATGATACTCATGACAACCGGTATTAAAGAAAACATGAACACGGATAAACTGCTCTTAGAAAGTGCAACAACATAAAAAGATTATCTTTTTAGGAAAAAAAAAAAAGAATCTAAAAGCAGAACAACGAAGGCAAGGCCAATGTACAAAAAACAACCTGCATGTTCTTAAATCATGAAAATCCATGTTAGAAAGCTCCAAAAACAATTCATTGCTAAGCAAAAGAAAGCTCATGCAAGCATAAACCAAGTGCAAATCCTATATTAAAAAGACAAACCCATATGCATTATTAGAATCTAGAACTAGTACCTCCTTCTGGGCAACAACCCATATGCCGTCCTGCAAATCCCAATGAGGCCGCAGCTCAGAGCGCCTTAACTCAAGCAGATCAGGTGGGTTTTTGAAACCCACCGTATACTTGTCATCCTCAAACCTCATCACAACCCCCACCCACCAAGCATCACTGTAAGAGGCGTCTACGACGTCGGCTGGCTCCAAGGGCTGGTCAGGATTGTCAGGAGGCGGCACTGGCCGGATGGAGCGCACGTCAACGAGCTCAGTGAGTGGCTTGTTTGGGTCGTCGTCAGAGACCAGACTCTCATACTGAACCAGAGCCTTGCTTGAGTTGCCAAGGCTCCTCCTTTTCTTCTTTGGTGAGCGATCTGAGGGTTGTGGGTCAAGGATTATGGCTGGGAACCATGCACCTTTGTACCCGTCTTCGTTGCTGCAAACTTCTACCTTTGAATCCTTGCTCAAATGCGCTTGGCTCCGCTTCACAACCATTTTCTTACTTGTTTTCTCTCACTTTTTGGTTCTCCAGAGAAACAGATTGAAAAAACCTTTTTAAGTACCAAATTGATGTACAGCCCAAGTACGATTGGTGATCATTAATATTCCAAAAACGCCAAAGTAGGAAAGGTGATAATTTCACAGACCTTTCACAGACCTCATACCCATTTGCGATAAAAATAGTAATATCTAGTCAAGGTCGATAAAAAGAGTAGTATTATTTAGTCAAGGTCAAGTTTTGGGAGAAAAGTTGGAATTTTTTGGTCCGTTGCTGTCCGGGACTCTCAAGTTGGAACGTTTTTGGGAGAAAAAAGTAGTATAAAGAAGCACAAATGAGAGAGAAATTTTGTAAAAGAAGTAAAAATGGACAAAATTGCCCTTATTTATTTTTGGATTTTCTAAAGAATCCTTTACATTTGTATGTTTTTTATTTGAAAGTTGAGAGGTTTTTTTATCTTTTTTGAAAAAACTGACTTTTTCCAAAAGTGAAATTTTTTTTATAGCTAAAATCTAAATTTACTTATTATTAAAAAGAGTAACATCGTATAATTTGAAAGAATTGTCGCGTAGATCAAGTTTTGTTGGAAACGACAGGCTTTTAGTCGACCCACTGAGAGTTGATGGATTGGATTGGATGTTTGTTGGGCTTCGGCCCACCTTCATACCAAACAAAGTTTTTTTGAATAACAGTGACTGATAAATTCATATATGACACTTTCACTATAGAATTTCGAGATTGAGGATATAACTATAGAATTTCGAGATTGAGGATATAACAATAATTCTATAGTGAGAGCTTACCAATTTGATCCAACAACTAACCTATTTGATCTAACGGTTACGAAATAGGACCCAAGGGCTATAGATAAGACGCTCACTATATAATGACTTGAGGATACAGTAGTACATACAAATAATTGTTTGTTACCAGCATTCGAGGGCTAATGGCTGTTATAATAAAAAAGCTACAGAAAAGTTAATCTAAAGGGTGTAAATATTATATCATTACATTCAAAAGGGTATATATATTATATAAGTGTCGAAGGTTAGCAAAAGGGGTGGTAATCTAAAGGGTGTCATCCATCAGAATCACAACAATCACCATGCTGCTGCAGCTAATTTCTCAAAATCACAATGGATGCTCTGAATGCCTTCAGTGATAGCATTTGCTTCTGATTGCAGCTTGCTAATTTCAGAACCTTTGGCCACATTGATTGACATCAGCGTTGCCCCTTTTTCCTTCAAGTCCTTAATCTTCTTATCAATCCGACTGATGGTTTCATTGTTTCTGGTTCTGTCCAGACTACACTCAGTGATCTGAATGTCAACTTCTTTTAATTGGTTATGAAGCTGCCCCAACTTAACTTTCATTTCAACCAACTCCTTCAGACGATGCCGTACTGCCGTTACATCAAATCCCAACATTTCCAAGTCAACAAGTGCCTCCAAATTGCTATCAAATAAGTCTCTAGGATCGCCAACTTGCAGCTTGGAAGTCTTCTCCACCAAAGAGGCAAAGGTTATCATATTTCCAAGGGCGGATCCTTCACGGCAAACTGCTTTATACTTCACCAGAGGATGAAAATGTGGCTTTTGCGGAAATCTTTTGAATACTTCCATGGATTCAATACTTTCCCAAAATGGAGAACTTCTCACAAAAGGCGAATGTGGACTGTCTTGTTGCTCAACTTGTGTTCCTCTAACCTCATTTTGTTGGTTGACAGTCCTAGTAGTGTTACCTGGAGAACACAATCTTGATATTAGTCAAACTAATGACACCCAAAGGAATCTATTGAAAATTTTCAATAGCTTACTTGAGCACTCTATGGCTTTTACAGAATGCATTTCCTCTATGCAGCACAGAGATAAAGGTTGATCATGGGCAGATGCCGTTGTCAAGTAATCCATTGCAGAATCCACAATTTTTGTCTCTCTCATGGCTTCTTCAGAACCTGCAAATTTAAGAAAGACATGAAATTTTAGACAACACAAGATAAAAATGAATAGGATAAGCAAGTACATCCAAAGGGGAAAAACAATAAAGGAAAAGCATATCCCTATTATGTTAAGCTAACATTGTTTTTGGTCTAGCAACATTTTGAATACATCCATGGTTTCAATTTTTTCCCCAACTGGAGAACTTTTCAGAAAAGGCAAAGTGGACTGTCTTGTAGACATTCGAACAATATTAAAGGATTTAAATGTATCTCCCTCACACGTGATTCAGTTGCATAAAGCACACTCAGTATTACCAAAAGTCAGTGTATTTCTTGAATTACGAAATCATTGTTTCTTAATTATGTTTCACTCCCTGTATTTATTGACTCTTCCAATTTCATTTTCCTAATCACTCATCCAAATGTTGTACTTGACTCGTATCTTTTTCACAGCAAAAAATTATAGAATACTAAAGCAAAAGCATATCGGTCATGGGGAGCATTCAAATTAAATTGGACACGAGTTCCTGTAATTTTTTTACATAAACTAAAGGTTTTTCCAGGCTGTGATGTACCATACCATTACCATTGACAAATTGTGTCTTAGTCAATTCAACTTGACCAACTCCAGTTCCATTGTGCTTCTCACCTGCGAAAAAACAGAACTTATTCAGGCCACAAGTCTTCTATTCCATTGTGCTTAATTCAGGTTGTTAGCTACTCATGCATGTCAAATCCCACATTGTTATTACAGGCAATTCAAATATATCATTCGTATCATCTGCAGCAAAAGATCCAATGCAATTATGTTCATGCTGGTATACATTGGATTTTGTAAATATACACATCTATCGAGAATTGTCTCTCTGACACATTATACATACCTGTTGCTGGATCTTTTGGGTGTTCAATAAGATATTCAGGCAGTTTTCCCTTCCCTTCTATTTCACTGCTCACTCCATCTTCATTCTGCTCAACCTCCTGCATGAATTAATAAGAAATATCATCATCAATGAAATTGTGTTAGAGGGAAATAAATATCAACAGGATGCCTCCAAATCCATACTTATTCCAGAGACTAAGTAAAGCCGAATACATTTTTTGTATTAATTATAGATAAAATTAAAATGAAATATTATAGTTTTTTATTAATAATTGTCTTCATAAAAACAAATCCTCTAGTAAGGTCAATATTAAATATTTGTAGAATTAAAGGCATTTTCCATTTTAGTCCTTCCCTTCACTTATACACCACCCTCTGAGGTAAAATTAAGCTCTCTTGTTTTTTGCAACAATATTTCTAACTTTTTTTTAATATATAAGATTAATGTAGACTGCAGTTTTGATAAATAGAGAGATATAGAAGAAGCATAGCATACGGGCTTTAGATATACCTCCATGGGCAGCAGACATGATGTGTCAGCAAGAGATCCCCCTGTTAGTTCAAAATCTGACTGTATACCTGAAGATTCAATGTTGTCTCGTCCATACTCATCTTCAAAATCTTCATTTGCCTTTTTTATTTCACTGCCCTCCTTGACTGCAAATAATTATACACGTTAATATAGAAACAATATCATGTAATGATACTCAGCATGGATATATGCCTCTGACTATTGATTTTTTCACCAGGCAATTTCAGTGGCCTGCCCCTCCCCTCATGTCTCAGTCTTGGCCAAGGGATATCAACTTCAAAAGTTTGTGGTTTACCTTTTCGTTTATAAAAAACTATTGTTTGATTGTTCAGTCCTCCAACCTGCTGTTGCTTAGTCTTCTGCAATGGGAATAAAATGCATTCTAATCAGGACCATCAGGTGTCAGAAGAAACAAAACCAGAGGAAAAAATAATGCATCTGTTTTTATTTTTATTTTTATTTTTTGCTATATATCACTTCTTACATTCAAATGGCAGTCTTCAGATGCTATCAACTTATAAAATTCATATAATGAGGGCATGTTAATGAGGTTTTGCAAGGGAAGACTTGACTTATGATTTTGTTTACCCCGAAAGGAACACTCAGCAATAGGAGAATATATACCAATAATATTTTGAGAGTTCACTTACCGCACCATCTCTAACTGGGGCTTCTTTGCTTGATGTTTTGACTGGTGTTCTCCTTTGAAATAATTGTGCAAAAGATACGGAATCTTCTGAATGTCCACATATTAACTTCTTGGACAGACCTAAAATGGTTGCATCATCATTAGGTTTGTGATTAATTTTTAGTTTCTTTTTGGTCTTTCCATAAGGTGATTTATCAATGCAAGGACTCAAGTCCTCCGACTGATTCTTCCACGAAATCCTCGAACAAGGTGTTTTTTCTTCATTATTATCCTTGGTAGCACCTGAACTTTCAAGTGCTGTAGCTAACTCAGAACTACTGAAACTCTCACATGCTAGCTTTGATCGTACTTCATAGTCCCTACTAAAGTGACCTTCCTGAAAAGGAAGGGCAAAAATTTAGCCACCCACAAATAATTTGAGACCATGTATGTTTCTCAGCATAGAAACTCAAACTTACCTATGATCCAAACATGTTTACCATCATACCCATAAAGTAACAAGCCGTGACACCCCCCGCCCTTTTCCCATCATAAAACAAGACAAAAACACACATACCTTAAAGTAAGGAATCCAGTTTCCATTGATCATAGTAACCCATCTTCCATCCATCCAGTACATGTGAGGCCTCAAATCTGACTGACTGTATTGCTTCACCTCCTCTGTGAATTTCAAACTGACCATATACTTTTTTCCTGTAAGAACTTTTTTAATCACTCCGACACGCCAACCCATATCAAAAAATGCATCCACCTTTTCCTCCAACTTAAAATCTCTTTCCGCCAACTTTGGAGGCGGAGGCCGAATCTGTTTCCCACCTACAACCACTTTAACATCGCAGTTGTTAGAGCTCTTATATTGAAGCAAGAAAGAGTTGACCCCTAGTTCACCAAGATAAATTGCTGGGAACCAAGCACAGAATAGATGTTCTCTGTTGAGATTCACTTCCACTGCTGTCCCAGGGCTGAAAAATGATCCCGCCATCCTCTTCGAACCATTAGTGAGAAATATCAGTTTTCTTTCTATTAGAAGCACAGCATATAGAAATTTCTATCATCCTTCAAAAATAGGAATCCAGATATATGGCAGATGAGATTAATGAATGAACTGAAAAGGCATGAACTTGCAAACATATAAGTAAAGACCTCAAAAAATCCAAACTTTAAACTCCATAAAATCACAAGTTCCTAACAAACACCACAATATCAGAGAAGTCCCAGAAAAAATTAGAAAGCACAAACAAACCTGATATCAAGTACTGACCAAGGACAACAAGCGATAAAAATAACAACTTTGGTTTATAATTCAGGAAAATCAATAGAATAGTCAAGAGAACCAATGATACTCATGACAACCGGTATTAAAGAAAACATGAACACGGATAAACTGCTCTTAAAAATTGCAACAACATAAAAAGATTATACTTTTAGGAAAAATAGAAATCTTTTTAAGGAAAAAAAGAAGAATCTAAAAGCAGAACAACAAAGGCAAGGCCAATGTACAATAAACAACCTGCATGTTCTTAAATCATGAAAACCCATGGTAGAAAGCTCCAAAACAATTCATTGATAAACAAAAGAAAGCTCATGCAAGCATAAACCAAGTGCAAATCCTATATTAAAAAGACAAACCCACATGCATTATTAAAATGTAGAACTAATACCTTCTTCCGGGCACGAACCCATATGCCGTCCTGCAAATCCCAATGAGGCCGCAGCTCAGAGCGCCTTAACTCAAGCAGATCAGGTGGGCATTTGAAACCCACTGTATACTTGTCATCCTCAAACCTCATCACAACCCCCACCCACCAAGCATCAAGGTAAGAAGCGTCTACGACGTCGGCTAGCTCCAAGGGCTGGTCAAGATTGTCAGGAGGGGGCACTGGCCGGATGGAGCGCACGTCAACGAGCTCAGTGAGTGGCTTGTTTGGGTCATCTTCAGAGACCAGATTCTCGTACTGCACCAGAGCGTTGCTTGAGTTGCCAAGTTTCTTCCTTTTCTTCTTCGGTGAGAGATCGGGGGGTTGAGGGTCAAGGATTATGGCTGGGAACCATGCACCTCTGTAACCCTCTTCGTTGCTGCAAACTTCCACCTTTGAATCCTTGCTCAAATGCGCTTGGCTCCGCTTCACCACCATTTTCTTACTTGTTTTCTAGATATTTTCTTGCTTTCTCTTCACTTTCTCAAGGTCAAGTTTTGGGTGAAAAAGCATAGGATTTTTTTGGTCCGTCCAGGACACTCAAATTGTGCATATCCGGTGAAACGACTCATCGTAAATTTTGAAGGATTTGTCGTGTAAAACAAGTTTTGTTCGAAACGACAGGCGTTTGTCGCTATGGGAGTCATTGGATTGGATGTTTTGGTTATCCCTAGACCCGAAGTACTGCTGTAGTTTTCTTGGGCTTCGGCTCACCTTTATACCAAAGAAAAGATTTGAATAATATTAAAGTCTGCTTCTATTGTTGTTGATTTATCTATTAGAGCACTTCCATAAGTTAGCCCTTCATCATGGCAAGGGAGTCCTAGGATAGCTACTATTCAAGTAAATAGTGGCTGTCCTAGCACCAAAAAAAATTGTGTTTCCAGCAGTGCAAGGCTTGCCATGGCAAATACATACTATTCATTTTTTTGTTTTTTTCACAACTTTATTTACTTAAACAATTAATTTGGATAATATTTTCGGATAAGATTTTTAGGTTCTTACGTGTTAATACTATTCATATCGGATTAGATTTTCGGTTTCAAATTTCAGATAAATTTCAAATAAATTTCAAATTTAAGATACATTTCAAAATTCAAAATGTCAAATTTCAGATACATTTCAAAATTCAAATTCCAGATAAATTTCAAATTTCAAATTTTATGTGAATTTCAAATTTCAGATAAAAATTTTACCCTCTAAAATTGAGCCACGTGTCATCTCTATCTGTTTAAATTTTTCTATAAAAGTAGAGGCTCAGCTCATACCTCCCACACCATATCTTCTCTACATCTTCATTTCTCATATTTTAGATTTCATTTCTTATATTTTAGATTTCATTCTCCATTCTCAATGTCAGACGACATGGAAGAGGTTTTGGAGAGGCAAGAGCGAGAAAGGCGAGCAAGAATGCGTAGAAGAGTTGCAAGCAAAAGGGCGCAGAGAGATCTAGATGAGCAACTTGGTGTGGCCATTGCTATGCTGGAGGAAGAAAACTAGAGTCGTAATGGTTCACGAGAAGGCCGGGCACCGAATATGGACAGACATAGACATTCTCGGGGTAAGAATCTGATGGAAGATTATTTTATCCCACATTCTCTGTACTCTGATGTTCATTTTCGAGCAAGATATAGAATGCAACCTCATTTGTTCAATAAAGTCATGCATGATATTTGCAATTATGATGACTACTTTTTTAAACAAAACAAAAAATACAATGAAATGAAAGGCAAGCAAACTAGTAATGTATGAGGAGTTGAAAGTAAAAAAAACAACCCATAATATTTAAACTCCGGTTTCATTAGAAGAACCCATAATATGATAGAGAAAAAAACAACTTGAAAGTGAAAAAAAATTGAGTAGAAAGTGAAAAATAGTAGAAGGAGAAGAAAATGTATGAGGAGTTGGTGTTAAAAGTGAAGAGTATTGGTTGGTATTTGTAGAAAAAAAAAATTCAGTATTTTTTGGTATTTTTTTTTAAATTTTTTCATTTTTTTATTGGGCAAAAAATTGTCGGTTGTTGGATTGCTGGAAAAAAAGGATCGGAGAGCCTAGAAGCTTCCACGTGGCAGAGAGCCGTTGGGGGTTGCTTTTTCGATTTTTTATTCGCGAAAAAATAGTTGTCGTTTGATATGTTTAAAAAGCTGATCCGATGGCCCAGAAGAAGACACGTGGAAGAGAGCCGTTGGGCGGGCACTGTAGCGGCGGGTCAAATTTTTTTTAAAGTTGGAGCGTGCATTGCACGCTCCAACGTTAAAAAAATTTAAACTCCATCGCCGACGTCATCGTGACGTCAGCGCGATGACATCAGCACAGCCTGCGGGCTAGGGCTCCGGCCAGCCCAGGTATGTGGGCCCCACTGCTTGCCCTGGTAGCTCCTTGTTGCTGGAAACCACATTTTGGGTTTGCGCCCCCCCAACCCTCCCCTTAGGCCCCTTGCTACCAATGCTCTTAGAGCATCTCCAGCGCCAGACCCAAACTGGGGGAAAGACAGCCCTGGCGAGCCCAAGAGACCTCTAGCGCAGGAAATCCAGCCCGGGCATGGCGTGGGACCCACCAGCCCGGGCAAGCCCACGGGCTAATCTTGCCTGGGCACCAAACTTCGGGCTACTGACGTCAGCATGACGTCAACAGCTGATTTTCAAATTGTTTTTTACTTTTGAGCCCACATTGCCCAATGGTTACGAGTCATGTGACTTCTCCTGGAGCCTCCGATCAAAAAATCTTGCACAATCCAACAGTTGTCCAATTTTTGGCTAAAAAAAATTGAAAAAAATATCAAAAAATATTTAAAAAAATATCAAAAAATTCTGGAAATTTTTTCTATACATACCTACCAATATTGTTCACTTTCCACACCAATTTAATTTCAAAATTTTATCCGAAAATGTTATCTTGATTTTTAGGTGAGGATTTTACGATAAATATTAACACTTGGGAATTGAAAATCTTATCCGAAAAGCTTATCAAAATCAATGTTTTAAGTATAAAAAATAAAAAATAAATTTAAGTGAATAGTAATTGCCTTAGACTTGCCCCAGACTTAGCCCTCATGGGTGGAATCACAAATGGCAAGGCTGCCACTATTCACTGCTTGCCCTTGCCTTAGACTTAGCCCTTGTGGGTGGAAGTGCTCTTAGACAAATGATTTCCCAAAATTAATTAGAATTAGCAAATGATTGATTTCTTCATTTTAAGTTGTTAAATGACACTGGACCATCCACATACTTGCGCTTATTTTATTCCTTTTTGGTATAAACATTAGCCCCCGATTATTTGCGGCCATTTAGAGTAAGGGTGGGGCATGAATTCAGCTGAGTCGATGAAATTGGCCGAATCAAATTGTAATTACCATTTTGGTTTGGTAAACGGTTTAAAAACCCAATAGGATTGTATTTGGTTTGGTTTAGTTTGATTTTGAATTTTTGTAAACCGGCCTAAACCAAGTAGGATCGTTTATATGTGTATTTATTTATTCATATTATATTTTATATGTGTAATATTGTAATTAGGTAATAACTATATATGGATATTTGAATTGAGCTATATTAGTTATTGAAATTTGAAGTTTTATGGCATCTTGAGCTAAGGATGGTTTCGTACTCTAGAAAATGATTTAAGTATGGAGCAAGTTGTAAATTTGTTGGTTGTAATTAGGCTAGCAATATTGAAAAAATGCAAAAGGAAAGAGAATTGGGCTTAGGTCCAAACCGATTTAACCGAACCTAACCAAAGTGTCTTAAATTGGTTTGTTTTGGTTCAGTTTCCTTTATGACTTTTGTCAAAACTGAACCAAACCAAACTGTTATATTGTAATTGGTACAGCCATAGTTTTGAGGTAAAATCAATCTAATCTATATCGTGCCCACCCCTAATTTAGAAACAACAAAATGGGTCAAATAATGAACCAAGCCCAAAACACCAAAAGCAATTGAGCAGCCCCTAATTGTGTAATGCCTCAAATGATTTAGGGAAAAGTTACTTTTGGTCCTTGTACTTTGATTCTATCGCAAATCAAGGATACAACCAAATTTCCATCCAATTTCATCCAAAATTCAGTCTAAAATACCCCTCCACATAATAGGCAAGCATTTGTTCCATCAACAAACTGGACGAAAATTTGGACGTGTCTTTAAATTCCAATAAAATCAAACTACATGAGTCAAATTGCCATAACTGAAGTACAAGGACGAAAGTGAAAATTTCATCAAACTACAAGAACAAAAAGTGACTTTTGCCAATGATTTATGGTGATGATTTTGCTTCTTCTTTTTTTTATTTTTTGTTTTTGTTTGTTTGTTGTTGTTGTTATATTCATAAACCAAAAGTCGGTTTGAGAGGTGATGGAGTTCAAATCCCGAGGTCAAGCAATTTCTTTTTATCTTCAAATTGATTTCTTGTAATTGTATTGTTCCGTATTTAGCATGCATGCCTAAGAATTCTATATCTTGTTTATGTGGTTCTATCTTATTCTTGCTAATAACTATACCATGCTTAATAAATTATTGTAAAATTATTTCTAAGTGTTTTTTTATGTTCATTCCTATTTTATGCATGTACAAGTATATCATCTACATATATACTACAAAAACTATTATACTTCTTAAAAAATTTATCCATCTTCCTTTGAAAGATTGATGGTGCATTTTTAAACCTAAAGGCATGACTAGCCATTGAAAATATCTTTTTGGACAAGTGAATGTTGTCACTCAATTGATTTTTTTGCTCCTTTAATCTTCCAAAATCATGATCAGATTTTGAATCAAATTTACTAAAATATTTACTATCTTGAATTTTGTTTATGATCTCAACTATAATTGGTAACTTATATCTATAATCATATTTTCAAATTCTTGCTTATTTTACAAGGGATATATGTTGTCTTAATGGTTACATCTAGGTTAATAATATCAAATGTTGCTATTATCTTATTCTTGCTCCAATGTAATTGAGTCTTCTCCTATATCTTATTTGCATTATTTTAAGGCTTAATTGCTACAGTGCACCTGTTTGCCCGTTCTTGGTTTACTCCTATGATGGAAGGGCAAAGTTCCCCACTGCCTTGAGAACCATAAAATGGTCAACAAGTCAGCTTTCTTTGGTGTGCGAGCGTGCCACTGCTAGCAAAATTTCTAGCAGACTTGGTTTGGAATGGATAACTTGCGTCCCAAGTTACTGATTTCTGCAAACAAACGAGTGTGAATTTGGGTGAGGAATATCTCCCAAGTAAGTTCTTTTCCTGCCTCAGACTGGTGAGGACTTTAACAATTTATCTCAGTATAAGGAGGTTGCCTTGGCCAGAATGGTTTGATGGGATTTAAATTGTTCTTTAGGCGGAACTGCCTTTTACAAAAAAATATATATATATATATAACAGTGAATGCTTATATTAGAGGAAGATGAAGGGACAGCCGGGGCTTTATTTCTGTCGAGATAGA